CATTCCTATCACTTAGCTGAGTGCGCCGTGCCGCCGATCATGTTGAATAACAATGCATCCTTATCAGCAACAACTCACTAAAACAGGACCAAAGTTTTAAAACAGACAGAAATAACTTTTTACTTTATTCTATTCATTATATATAATATGTAGTCTAGCGACGTATATTGCTTGATCATCGCCAAACAGAAATCTGATGTGAAATTTTTATGTTTTTTCAAAAAAGCCCATAATGAAATTCCTGACAAATTCATTTGAGATTAGATTAAACCCACTCGATTTTACACTGAGCCGGTATACCCCATGTCGAATAGGGTTTGGCGAGCTGAGCGAGGGTACTACAACGCTGGACTTCTAATTAAAAAAAATAGAAACTTGGGTGTATTTAACATCACATTTCAGCATTTTTGTTTGGCGTTATTCCAGTATCTACACACTTCTGCCGTGTACTTCTCTAGACCCCTAGTTTATATAAACATTCAAATTGTTGGGGCAACCAGCAGTAGATGTCTTTTTTCAATCTCAGCAACAGATTGCATAAACAGATAAATGAGTAATCACAGAATCAGATTGGATATTCCCTCACTATACAGCTATCTGGCTATAGCAAACCATGTTATATTTTTCATGAACAATCTGAGACAATAAAAAGTATAATTTAGCAATTATCCAAGGGTACAGATGTAGCTGATACATTCAGATATTACAGTATTGGGAAATGTCAAACAAGCGCTCACATAGCCTACAATTCAACGATAAAATTAGATTTTTCAAATGAATTTTCAAGTCATTGCATTTTCACCGTTAGCTTAATTTGTCCAATTCAGAGCCAAAGAGAGCCACACGCCACCATGACCTTATCCAATAACATACATCCATATTTTATTCTATTATTAATCTTAAAAACGGATTAAGAATTCACATTTGAGCCCTCGAAAACGCTGATAACCTGATAAATCTTATTCAAAAACCAAGCAGGCCGCCGGCGTAACAAAAGTTAACTCTCAGCAGACATGTCTCATTTTTGAAACGGTAAAAGAGCGTTGCCAGAAATTCATAGATATAATAGGACGCACAGTGGGCACGACAGGGGAAAGTTGGAACGAATTTCCTGATTTTAGCCGAAAATTCAGTGTATTCTGTATGACACTAAAAAGTTCTGTACTTGGCAATGACCGGCCACATATTTAGGAGTAATATAAAAAAAACACGTAATGAAGTTAAGTTCTAAAAAATTGTATGCCGGAAACATATCATTAAAACCTATCGAACACTGCTCAAACAATAATTATCTTGCAGAATTCCTAAATATCGGTATCCGGCCAAAAATTCTGATCTTTCCGATTGCCGATCTTGGTGTGTGAACTGTGAAATAATCTCGAACCAAGTTGTGTGAAACATATACCGCAATAATACTTTGTCAATCATTGGCGAGAACGAGAATTTCACATCAAAAATTATAAATATCGGGTACATATATATATATATATATCGTTTTTTATTGCTCTATTGAATCCAGACTTCGTTCATTCCATGTCAAATTTGCCTTGCGAGCAGGACCTGCTATATAGAATAAGTAAAACACAAAGTCCAAAATGTACATTTTGTTATGCATGTTGAAACTGTGTCACATTTATTTTATCTCTGTGGATTTGTGCAGCAATTTTGAAAAATAGTTAACGCTTGGCTAACCGTTGAGTATGGATTAAACTTCAATTTGACACATAGAGAAATGTTATTGGAGGTAGGGCAGTCACTTTGGGCAAAACCAGGGTATAAACTGTGTTTTATTATGTGCCAGATATTTTATATACAAATGTAAACTGCGTAATGGAAGGCCTCAATTTTGCCAATTTTTATATATGATAAAAAATATTATAAACTGTAAAAAGACTATTGCAACTAAAAATGGTAAACTGTCAATCCATAATAAAAGTGGAAAACTATTATGTGCTCGTTTTCTTAAAATGCAATGTATTTGTGCTATTGTGGGTATATAAATGTGTTGTGATAATGTGATGTTTTTATTTATAAAAGAAATATATATATATATATATATATATATATATCGTTAATATTTTGACGAAACAGCTTTTAAATAATCGGATAAAAGATTTTAGTGTAAGTGGCATAGGATCGATTTGTTAGGGGTATTGGGTATTATTTTTTACTCGCGGCGTAGTATTTTTTTATATTAATGTATTTTTGACCTCATACATATCAGTTTTATTTCCGATTTGTCGAAGATTTAACAAAAAACAATTGGGTAGTAGAATGACACCATACAAAGAGGAAACGGGAAAAGTTGTAAAAACTTTTGACAGATTGAATAAATCAGATTCAATTTGTGGATTTACCCCCGAACAAATGGAGATCACTAGATAAAGATGAAAAGATAGGATAAAGGTAAAAATATAAGATAAAAGTATCCAAATACTGTTTGAAAGCGACAGTTGTTTAACATTCAAACTGCATTTCACCGTAGTTAAAATGCGTCAGTCGTTGAACTTTCAACTAGCATTTTACCGTAACTTCAATACTGTTAAAAGGGCGCTAGTCGTTGAAAGTTTAAATTGCATATCACTATAACAGTGGTTCTTAAACTTTTTCGAGCGCGACCCAAATCTGAGTTTTATGAATACTCGCGACCCAATCCTAAATAACGCAAAATGTGTTTTTAATGTTAATACAGTTTGACTCAAATACAGACAACTATTTATTAGAAACAGTCCATTGACTCAGTGAGATTGATGAAACTAAAATTTCCTTTTCATTATATCTTCAATACACAGCTCTATTTTACTTAACGCAATACGCAAGTTGTCACGGGTATCGAGGCGATTGCGAGCTTAGTTTTGATAACCGTCAGAGCCAAATATCCTCGCTCGCACAAGTCGCGAATTGTAGCAGAAAAGGCGTCCGCTATCCGTCGCAAACACGACATCCTAGCTGACCTTCGGTATCTCTCGCAATATACAACTTTTCACTCATCAAATGTGCACACACCGCTTCGTTCACGGTAAATGGTGCCTCGAGATGAAGTCACATTTTCTCTAGATATTGAATAATCTAATGTCGAGAAGCGAGCTTTTTCATTGCGTCGTCTATTACAATTTACATTACAAAAAAGACACCCATTTTTGGTTATTTTAATCCACTAAGACGACATTCCACGCGGTCAACACAACGACACGCGACGTGCATGGTTACCGATACCAGAAAAATAATACACGTGACTGGCATATCAGAATTGTGATGTAACAACGAACTCAAGACAGTTCTTACCGTGATTGAAAATTTTATATTACATTATTTTTAAATACCAGAGTTTAGAAGCTAAATTGAAACATTAGGAAAACTGAAAATTCGTCCTTCTCCTCTTAGATTGCCGACGACCTTGTCGCGACCCATGTTTGGGTCGCGACCCATACTTTAAGAACCACTGCACTATAACTTCAATATTGTTCAAAAGCGTCAGTCTTCAGTCGTTTAAATGGCATTTCACCGTAACCACAATACCTATGTTAAAAGGGCGTCGTTTAACGTTTGAATTGCATTTTGCCGTAAATTCAATAGGTACTGTTAAAAAGCGTCAGTCGTTGAATGTTTACATAGCATTTGTCCGTAACTTTAATATTCGATTTCAGTGAAGGTATTAGTTTGGGTTACAACGCGAGACTAGCTCTATTTAGCCTTGCTTTATGATGGGGACGGATTTTTAGGCGTATAATAATGCGAGGATGTTGTAGCCAAGACTGAAATAACGAATGAGCCAAATAAACACGTGCTGCGGGTACACAGGAAAAGGCGGCACCCCAGATATTTTCATAGCCGAGATTTCAATAGTGCCCCGTTGTTTAATGGAATAAATTTTATTTTCTTTCCCAAGTATCATTCTAAACCTCTATATAAATGTTTGTAAGTATGAGAACTATTTACAAAATATATCATGTTAAGTAGCCTAAATAATTTATCCTTCAATCAGTAATGATTACTAAAACTTACTCATACAACTTCAGATAACACGGAACACCAGTTACATTCCTATTATTATATATAGGACACCATAGTCTTAAGTTAGTTAATTTCAAGTTTTCAATTTAAGTTTTAATCTCAAGTCAGTTAATTTTATTTTTCGTTCTCATCTATTATTTCATCGTCTATTTGCTGATTATGGAATCGAAATAAACATATTAAACTTATTATTATTATTAAGTGCTTAGGGCCTCTAAAGGCCATGTGGGTATATTAAATAAGCTTAAACATAAAGAGGAACTCATGCAGTTGATAGTCCTTTCGCTTGATGTGTCACAATTTAATTCAATTGTCTCTGTGTTTTCGGCAAGATGAACTCGAGATCATGAAGAGAGTTAAAATTTCTGATTAGCTTCATCGGAGAGCAATCGGGCGCGATCGAAATCTTCCCGCCCTCTAAACAAGGCCACCCTGATATGTAACAAGCTTCTTTTTATTTGTAATAACCGGAATCTTTCGGGTTCGACATAGGCTACCCAGATGATTACACCCTGGATGAGGTGGGGACGTGGGACAAAGGATTTCATTTAGACATGTCGTGTACTGCCAATCACATGCGGTTTTACGCAAAGACTTGTTTTTATTATATTATTTCGAATGTCCCTCGAGGTGTTAGTGCCAAAAGCATAAGAATACATTACTGAGAACCCCAGTTGGGACCTCTATACCAATAGAGTTAGAGTAGACCAATAGAGAGTAGTTGGAACCATAGCCTCTCGTCCGGTTACCATTCCACGCTGGGTATGGGATTAGTTAGCTAGTTATTAGTTTTCAGATGCATGAACTTGATGGGGCATGTTTTCATGGTTCACTGAAACTAAAGTCACCCATGCAAAATTGTTAACAGTCTGCTGAATGCCAAGGTTGAGCCACTATACTTTCTTTCTACTTATCATAGCTTTGATGAATAAGCAAACTTTGATTCCCATTCTGTGATTACAATCGGACTCCGAAAAACTTCAATATGATTCAATATCTATCACAGAAAGGAATATTCTATTCGTAAGACAAAAATACTCAATTTAGGTTAACCAGTTATTTTCCTTCAAAAACAATGAGCAATAATCACTTCGTAAACGGGAATAAAAATGTTGCATCAAATACGGGAGAGGAAAATATGTACATTTATTTATTAAAATCCATTTATAACCTTTAATTAAAACATGATGGAAGCCATTTGGGCTTAAAAGTCATTTTAAAATCCAAAAAATTTCATAATATCAATTAAAATAATTGTAGATCATCATTTGAGCTTTGTTCGATCATCGTGAACCTTCTGCAATTTGGATGCAAGAGCGTGGTTTCCCGCATCGGTGTTAAAATCATCAACCTTTGAGAAATCCAAAGTACGCTTGCGTTGAATCGGCTTATGTCGACTTATCATTGCATTGAAATCACGAAGATTTGTTGATGGGCTTCGTTGAAAGCTATACTCCAAAGCAGGACTTGTTGACATTAGAGATGTCTCACCACATATCTTGTGAGGGGAGATATATATTTGATAACTCCCGACAACTTTTCTAGGAGATTTGACAACACATCGAGAAGTTGGCATTGGAGAAAGCGGAGGAGCTTCCATGTTGGCATTGGAAGATGTACTAAATTTTTTAACAAAATCTTTCAAGGCAGGAACATAAATCTTATTGTAGAATTGAATTAAATCATCCCGAACTTCTATATCAGATTCGTTTTCATCATCTGGGTTTGCCTCGTGAATAAGAACATTTCGATAAACGTGACTGCTAGCTTGTGGCTGACTACGATAACACCTCATTATCTCCTGGAACGATTGGTCATGTTGTGTGACTTTGGCAAGCACATATACAGCACACATGATAAGTTGGTCCATGTGACGATTACGCATGAGAAAAGTGCACCGTATAAGTGATTGTTCAAATGTTGTCCACACTTTCGCTTGTAATCCGACTGGAATATTTAATTTGTCACATAAATCCTTTACTCTGATACCGGCCATATGATAGACTTTTCTAAAGAAGAGGGCAAGAGAACCAGTGCGCTTCGGCTTTTGATTATCTGCATTTTCTACTACAGTTGGAGTACGAACAGCAGCGTTTATTATATTTCCCTCATCAGACTGGAACAAACATCTTTTTACGCTCCCTGGAACTGGTGAGCTAAATCTGTCATGTACCATTGTATTAGATATGAAATTGCTCTCTGATTTATTGGAATTAGATAATGCGTTAGTTTGATCAGCTACTTGACGAACACGAGGATGAACCTTCATTGTGGCAGCGATGCCTGCAACAGGAGTTACTTGATGGGGATAGTTTACTTCTTCACATGATGGGACATTAGATAAATTTTCAATTGCTTCCCAAAGAGGAGAATCACTTTGCCACGCCATGCTTTCTAATATTTTCTCTTCTATATGATTCAGATGTTTGACAACTTCTCTTGAAAGACCTTCTTCTGCACGAATCATCAACTCAATAACTTTGTAAAAGTAATATGCTTTGGTGTTAGTGGCCTCGAGAACCCATGGGAACACTCGAGTTGAATGATAAGAAAAGAGAACAACCTCCACACAACAACCAAACAAAAGTAAATGGAAATCATCACGTGTTAGTAGTTGCTCACAGCTTCCACCATTCTTTCTTCCTTCCATGCGCTTTTTTTCTTGCCAAATAATATTTTGAAGTGATTTAAAATAGAGGGTTTTTATCATATGAAGTCTTGTCTCACCAAAATCTCTGGCACCACCTGGCTGATCCTTATAAGGTTTGCAATAAGCATCCAGAAATTTTACACCCATATCCTGCAATCGACTAGAAATGGAATCTGACATCTCTGAAGAATTGTGGAGGATCTCCTTGATGAAAATGGCAGAAAACTCAAATTCTTGACCATGCAACAATAATTGAAGTTTAGCAACACTTTGTACCGCTCTAGACACTGGTGTAGTGTTACCTAATTCTCGACCAGCTAAAAGCATTCTATTCGTTAGGGGAGTATTTGGCTTGATAGTAATATCACTTTCTGGTCTTTGTATAGAAATTTTGATAGGCGACATGTTATCAACAGCCACTGATTGTGCTTTCAATTCAAGCTTTCTTTGTTTTATTGGAGTTCCGAGCTCCTGCTCAACATCATCGCACAAAAATATACGTTCATCAAAATCTCCTTCAGTTAGAATATACTCCTCATAACACATGTCAATTGCCTTTTTATTCTTTTCAAAATTTTGCGGCAAAAACAAGTTCGACAATGTGTCTGCGTCACCTGACAGAACATCCCCTTCAGGATTAAGAAGGGATCGAACATATGAAGTAAACTGATGTCTGTTAATTACCCGAGCCGCAAATGAAAAGTTATCAGCTTGCATTCTCGAAAGACCAGAAGCTGCTTGATTATCTACTAACAATCCAATAATATCAGGTGGTGTAGTGGGTGGTTTGAAATCTGGTTTATCCCAATTCTCAGGCAAACCAGCGAAATCAGGGTTCAGAAGTTTGGCCCTATGATTACACTGCAGGGCATTTGCAAAGCAGAAATTAATAACACTGAGTAGAAGTTGGAAAGAACTCACAAGGTCTTCAGTGATTGCTCTGTATTGAGTGGCTTTGGCATGAATGAAAGTTGTCCAACAAAATTTGAAGATATCACTTGTAGTGCATTGAACCTTTCTAGGTCTCCTACTTTTATGTTTAGTCGGAGTGTTTTGAGGGTCAAATGGATCTAAGAACACAGTTTGGAACAAAGGAAGAAATTTTTTGAAGATTGGTGTATTGACACAAAAGCTTCTTTCCAGGGAAGCAATTCGCTCACGAAAATCAGATGCGATGCTTGTATTCATTTCTAACCACTTTTCCATTTTGCGCAGAAAGCATACAAAACTGAGGCCTGCAGCTTTCAGCAACTTATTCAAGGAAACGAAATTGCCTTTACTATTCATTCCTGACACAGTTGGGACAATGCTTTCTCTACTTTTCACATAAAGTGCACATACAAGCCAGTGTAGACCGTCACCCTCAAGTGTATAGTTTTTGCTTGTATTTTGAAAATCTTGAAGTGCCTGCTCCATGGTCGGCTTGTCCATATTAACAGCAAGGCAGAGCTCCATGTACCGTTGGTCGAGGTCACAGGCCGCATCATTTTCTTCCTCGCTAGACATGGCCAAATGCCAATATCAGGCTTGATTAAAGCTTTAAGTACAATACTGAAAATATGAATATTATTATATTATGAAATTGAAGTGTTTAATTGGCCCATGATGCTAGCTGCTAGATATTAGAACAAGTTCACCATCATCTCACTTCTGACTATGTTCCATGGACTCGCATCCTGAGTTAGATAATTACATGCAAAAGGGTTGTCGGAGTACTTGCCACTGTAGGCTAGACATGTAACTGCTGGTCAGCTACGGCTTCCCTTAGCAACAAATCGGTGAATCTGAAACAAATATCTGGCCCACTACAACCATATATAACATGAATAGTAACCAGACAAAAGGTTCACCAAATGATCAAGTTGCTTTATTGTCTACCTCATATTTAAATAAGATTAAGTCAGAAGTTCAATTCAAGATGGTTTTAAATTCCACCAAAATATAACTTAAAGTCTATTGGTAATATTTCTGTATCTTGATTTTTTCTGTTCAGATATATTGATTTTGACACACATTTGATAATTTTTCTAGTTTTCATATTATCAACACTACACAGGACACACATATATGACATTTGTATATTAAATCCTGGAACAGTAAAATGGCATTCCTGATATTTAATACAGAAGTTTTATCGGAATGAAAAAAATATATTGTGATAACTTTAGATATTTCCTTTGTTAATAGCATTTGGCAAAATAAAATTTAATAAAAGTTTCAATTATCACAGCCACTATGCAATGAGAAGCATGTTCCTGCTAGTGCTTACCCAGATATAACAAATTTGGCTGAATTTATAAATACTACTTTAATCTAGAATTTAGGCCGTGGAAAGTTAACAGATGAAGCAGTTCAATGTTCAAGTGCAGTTTTAAGTATTCTGTGGCGTCTGCAGCTGCCGCAAAATCATGGCGGTATTTCCATACCATGGCCGCTACGGCCAAACCTATGACGACTGAATTTTTAGCTGCCACAAACCAATGACGAGCTGCCGTTACCGCGGCAGCAAATTGAAAACCAATGGCAGGTAAAATTTTGAAGCCGTAACCACGGCAGGTGGGCCGTAAAGACAGGGCTGTCCCTTATGGTAACAAATATTGGGTAAGTTGGAACGTTTTTCTTATAAATACAGTTTTGATGGATTTGGGGTTAGGGTTAGGATTTAAGTAGATATAATTCCGCATGATCAATTAAAATTTGGTACATTAGTTTGTGAATATACCGTTAATATTGATTACTGAATACAGAATAGCGCTATAAAACCATGGCAAGAGCTGCCGCGGTTCGTTCGTGGCAGAAGCTGCCATGAGGTGGTAAGAACTGCGCCTCTCAATGTTAGTGTATTGAAAACCATGTAGAAAAACTTAACAATACTGATAACAATTCCATACCAACATAATACAGTAATATGAAGGGTTTTGTTTGCAGCTTGTGGTCAACATTGAAGCATGATTGATTAGAATCTTATTGTATAGGTGCCAGTGATGGTATTTATCGCTTTTTGTTTTACTGGATTAACTGGTTAATAAGGTGTGGTAGAATTGTACTGAAATCAGAATGTAGTCAAGGAAATCTAGTATTGCACCTATGAAAGCCTGAAAAGAAAAACCCTTCACCCCAGGGCCCATCATTTAAATAATAAAGTTTGTTTGAAAAAAACAATACCAAGTATACAAAAAAATAGATTGAATTGGGTGGAAAAATTTAGCAGCGTCCATAGAAACGCGTTCAATTGTATTAAAGCATCTGGTTGTATTAAGAAAAATGCTTACACTACTACACCAAAGCCTTTCCGAAATATTTAATTTCAGATTGTTGTAATGCCTGAATGCTGTTGGTTTCAATGTTCCATTCTTTTTTGTATTCTTCAACATAGGGTAGGGACCGGGAATTAATGGAATTAGAGTCCCCTCGCCGTTATGCGATCATTTTTACCAAAATGCTTCTAATATGCTTTGTAGTCACAGAAAACACTTCATTTTTTCATTAACATACTCTACAAATCCATCTCAATCACTTCCCTCAAAATCATGCCGGTACCGTGACCGGAAAATCGTTTATACCGCCTCTACTTTCACCATGTCAGTGGGGCAATTGCGATCAACAACGTATATTTGCGATCACTAAAAATCTCGCCAATCGGAGCGCCGACGTTCCTGTTTTAGACCCTACATAGGTATGGAAAATGTTTGCGAAATCATCTTTTGGGTGTGCTGACGCGAATACTGTCATCCGACAAGCTTATTACAAACGTTTTTTTTTCAACCGAATCTCACCAACCCGATTACTGTATTTGATTCTACACGGGACAAATAAAATTGAATAGCATAGCGACTCAACCTTGGTCCATTCGATAAACCGATAATAATACCCCTACTTTTTTTTTATTAGTGATTACAATAGGTAGGTACTCAGGACGATGGTTTGTATTCAATCAACATGTGTATACATTTGCAGTATGGCGAACAGATTCCGTGGGTGACTGGAAAAACAGCCTTGTCTTGTCATATGATTAATTACGCACATCTCTTCACCCCATCACGGCGATGTGTACAAAAATCTTAATCTTTCGGTAGAAAGCCGGTATGTTTACATTGCAGAGAACAATGTTATCAAATTTATTTTTGCGCTCAAAATTATCGCTTTACAAATGCCAAGAAGTAGTGTTTTCATACAATTCAATGTGATCAAAGCCCCAAAGATATACTATTTTTGGCTCCGCCGGAAACGCATTGCTGTTCGATATAATGAGAGGCTAAACCTATATTTTCGATGACTCCCAATGTGCTCTGCAAGTAGTCTATGTCAACTCCTAAACTGATGAATTTAAATAATTACAAATGGTGCTCGTAAAATTTTTTTGTTAACAATAATGAAATTTGACATTGGCGCTGATACATTAGGAATCATGAGGTCGGTCAAAAACATTTAAATCAACAAGAAACATTCAGAGCAGACATGGTTGGTGTAACCTACGGCAAATACAGGGCAGGTAAATTTAATTTATTACGTTATTGACCCCTCAGTGATTGTTTATAAATTGATTGTGGGGAAAGATGTGATCTAATTTCGGAAATCTACATATCATGCAATATTTTTAAAACGAATAATGTGAAAAATAAGAGCTTTATTGTATTCTGGAGTTTTCTTGATACGTTGTCTACACCATTCGAAGTAAATGGGCTTTCACTCGGGTCTCGATCTTACATTTTTGCTTGATCGCAAATGTGACCAAAGTGGAAATCGCGAGCGCCCTTTTTCACACGTGGAATTATCTGCGATGCAATAAAGATAGAGACTCATTACTCCGGCGACGAATAGGAGAGAATATAAGTTGTTCCCACTCCAATTTTCACGGCTCTATCTTTATTTTAACCTCCCCATATGCTTCCGTTCTTTCTGAAATAGAAAAAGAGGTTTCGTGCTCTAAAATTGGTCATTTTCGACCACTAGTGGCGTTTTGACCCAGAAAAATCTCATTTTTGGACGAAATTTGACGAGAAGCGAGCTGTGGGTAGGCGAGTAGGTTTGTATTATGTATACCGAGCGGGAATCTATCACTATTTCTAGTTTGGCCAAAACAGGACGCTGAAAGGCAGTGATCGTAAATGTGACGTGAACGCTTATCGGGGAGGGGACTCTACGTGACTTAATATTTTCTTTACCTCCCTAAAATTCTGGCAATGCCTGAATGCAGTACGACATTCTGGCATTTCTTATTCTAGTACCGGTAATCGATCTCTGCTTTCTGTTTTAATTGGTACAGGTACCGTTACGGTACCGGTACCGTGAAATCGATATCCCACAATAACTTGTAATTTTTCATATAAAAATCGAGTTTTAACATCCACCTAAGTTACCCTAGTTGCTATTTGGCAAACTCGTTTCATCGTTATCAAAAACCTACCGTCAGACCGTACCAAACAAAGCCTAACAATGAAATAAAAACCTCTGTGAAATAAAAGCATTGCTACGCCTACATGCTCCAGTGCAAAATACTGGAAATCTTGCGCCACACATCCCATGTCATTGTTTCGCGGGAAAATATGAGATAGCAGTGTTCGGAGTCAAATCCTTGTCTTGTCGGATTTTCGGTATCGAAGCATTTGGCTGTACGACAGGTGAGAGAGAGAATTCATTTTTTTTCGTCGAAGCAGAAAACATAGCGACGATACAAAAAATACAAATAAAACAACACATATTACAGTTTTCGGTAGATGACTAGGTGATGACGATACGATCATCCAAGTCAAGACCACCCAGTGCAAATACTTGGAATAACTAATATGAGACGGGTTCTGTTACATTAAACTCTCTTGAATTAAAGCGATTTCATCGTAGAGGTCATTCTAGTTTACAGCAAGCCAAATTTCAACAAAATTCTCCAGTCCAGGAATTGGGTACTGACCACGGGGCCAACCCACCGCCGCAACTCCCTCAGCTCGTCCTTCCAATCCTCCCACTGCCCTATCCGCCTCAGCCTTCCCACCCTCGACCCAATGCCTTTTCCCTCTGAGGCTTCCTATCCTCGACCCACTACCCTAACCTTCTCAGCCCTCCCATCCTCAACCAACTGCCTTTTCCCTTTCGGCCGTCCTAACCCCGACCCACTGCCCTATCCCTCTCAGCCTTCCCATGCTCGACCCACTACTTTTCCCCCTCAGCCTTTCCATTCTCAACCAACTGCCCTACTTTCCTCGGCTTACCAATCATTTACCCACTGTCCTATTCCCCTCCGCGCCTTACATACGTCGTGATTACCAGATTCAATCTATTGTTTGCGATTTTGCAAATGTTCAAGCTTTATACGGCTCAACTATGCCAATTAGATGATTTGAGCCTAAGTCTAGGCAACATGCCAATAAGGTTGACTACATTTGTGATGAAAGATATTAGAAACAAATTTATAGCTGCAGTGAGTGTAAAATGAAGACAAGAATGGCATCTTATTTACATCATTTGCCAAGCCATTTAATGTAGGTTTAGTGCCTTGAATTTAAAATGGTAATCGACCACCATAATTGGTAGCTTAAAATGTCCTACTTTTTACTTTGATAGGTTACTAAGCCG